CAGCAGAGAAAGCCCATGATCAACGGCTTTTGGAAGGCCTCTGAGCATCCATTCCCCAGTGACTCCCTCTCTTCATCTCCCTTCCTGCATCAGTTCAAGCTGCTAAGTCTGAGCACACCCTGTGGTGTGACTGTTGCTTGATGGAAATGTCAGTGAGTCTGGAGAGACAGAGCCAGGGGAAACCAGAAGTGCTCTGTGCTGCTGTGATGGTCACATGTTGATGTTCCCATTCCAGACTGGGACCCAGCTGTGCCAGGTGCCCTGTGGACAGGAGCCTTTTGAAGTGAGCCATGAGGTCAGTGTCGCTTTGCAGGTTCCTCTGCTGAGCTTTTTGTCCAAAGTGGATCCATTCCGAGTGTGAACAATGGAAGCAGCTTGTCTTTGCCTTGGACCACCCCTGATCTTGCCTTAAGGGAAAGATGTTCTAATAGCAAAAGGCTCCCTGTCAGCTCTCTGCATTGATAAACACAAGATCAGATCCCGGGAGGTCTTTTGGTCTTATATGAAGAGTAGGGAATAAAAGTATTCAAAAACCTGAAGGAAAGAACTGGCTGTGCCGAGCAATGGGAGAAGCTTATGGAAATCTCCACTGTGGATGACCTAGTTGTGGTGTGTGCTCTGCTGGGCAGGTTTGGAGCTGTGGTGTGCTGCCTGTGCAGTGACAGCCCTGGCTGTGCCCTGCAACCCCTTCCATGATAAATATGTTGAGATGCAGATTTACTGCCCTACAGTTCCAAAAGAGCTGCTGACTTGGTGCCAGCCTTACTGTGTGTCTGACTCAAGGTGCCTCCGAGGAGGAATCCTCAAAAAACATACTGTGCTTTATAGTGCTGCGTGCAAAGCCGTCAAAATCAGCTTATTTGGACCCTTCATTCTAGGGAAATAGGAATACTGAGTGCCCAAAGGTAGTGTGTGATCTGGGACAAGCTTTCCTAATGTGCTATGGGTGTGCTGTCACCCATGGCACCTTCTCCCCGTGGTGGGAGGGAGACACAGACCTGGCGCTCGTCAAGGTTGTGTGCGAGGTGTTGCTCCAGGGTTGCTGCTGCATCATGTGGTGACAGCCCTGAGCTCCTGAAGGCCAACAAAGCCTGTCCTACATCTGGGAGCAAAGTGTCCTTGCCACTGCTGTGGTCTGTGTGAGCCAGGCTGGGCAGGGGCTGGGCACTGATGCTTTATACCTTCGCTGGGCTGTGCAGGGAAGTTGCCTCTGGGAAGGAGAAGTGTGCACTGCAGTGAGCCTCTCCCCTGGATCTGTCACTTCTGCAAACATCACTCTGGGCAGCTCTTTTAGTTTATTTTTAAAAGAAAGGCAAATCCAAGCAGAGGAGTCTGACCTCCAGTAACCAGGCAGTGCTGGGAGTGCACTGGGGCTCGTGGCTCCCATCCAGCTTCAGCTAGAGCAAGGCTGGAAGTCTTTTCATCCGTTAATGGGAGGCTTCAGAGGAGTAATTTTATTTCAGATTCAAAGAGGAGTCGGTGGAGGGAGGAGCAGGTCACTAGTGAGTGGATTATGTTTGATCACTTCTCACAGACCTGGTTAAAAAAGTTAGAGGGTTTCTTTCCCAGTCTCCCCAGCTCTGCCGTCTGTCCTCAGCATCTGCTCCCGAGTAATGGCTTTTGATGTGTGGGGGGAAATATAACAAATGGAACCAGAGCCTGTCATATTTACTTAGATTTCCAGGTCCCAGGGAAAGCACTTGCTCCTTTCAGTATGCCTCCAGCACAGGAAGGGTTTAAAAGCTTCAGCCTGGAATGCAGAGGGGCCATCAAACTGTGCTGATGAATAAATGATTAAAACCAGAGTCATGCAGAGCACAAACGGTTCGGGGTTAGAACAAGCATGAGATGAAGCCACCAAGGGCCTGGTTTCCCTTTGAAGAGAAGAATGTTTCTCTCTCTCTGCACATTGCTCATGAAGTGTTGGCTGCTCAGTCCTTGGAAGAGAGCAGAGCTCCCCTTGGTGCTCTCCCACCTCGTGTCATGCCTGTCTGCTTCTTGGGGATGAATTGGTGTCGGATGTGTGTGCGTGGTCCTGCCATCCCTTCGCTGCTGCTATTGACTTACAGGAGCTTCCCACCCTTGGTGTTTGGCACAGGTCACACCAAACAAGCAGCTGGTTTGGCTACAGCTGTGTTGCTGCCTGTTGCTCTGACAGACACTACGAAAATTACCTTGACGGTGCTTCCCACCCAACAGCAAAGCACAGCCCCTTCTCCTGAGCAAAAGGGAGGTAAAGGGATGAGTTAACCTTGCACTAGGGGGATTGTTATTTTTTAAAAGATTTTAAAAATTCAATAACACCCAAAAATGATGCAATAATTTCGTAGCAGAGAGGAGCTGTTGTGTCTGTCAGCAGAGGCAGCAGCATGGGCTGGCTGTCAGCCCTTTGTGGGCTGATAGAAAAATCCATGCTGCTATTTGCTTCCTTTTCAGCTTCCAATTCTCCTGGCTGGTTCGGGGAATCCTGCACCAGGCAAAATCTCACATGATTTAGTATACAAATGGGTTTGGCACCTTCTCTTATTTTTTATTGCATGAGGAGATGCCCAGATGTTGATCTATTTGGTGTTTCTGTCTAGTTCACAGCATGGCACATCTCCCTCTAAAGGGAAAAAGATACTTGTTTTCTCCTCTCTTCCTTCAGGTAATCTTAGCAGGTCTGGAGGCTGATTGGAAAGGTTGCTATATGGAATGACCATCCCTTGGAGCAGCCTGCAAGTTCCTCTGTCCTCACTCACCATCTGTGTGCTGGGAAAAATACGTGGGAAAACTCTTCCAGCTGTGTCTCACTGCAGTTGTTTTCTACCCACTGGTGTCATTTTCTCTTATTTTTTTTCCGTGCAATGATGACAAAATCCCACTGGCCAGCCCATGATATGCTTTTGAGCAGTGGGAGGGGAAGAAAATCAGGAATGTCATGCTGATGGGAAGGCTCTTGGGAACTTCAGGTCTCCCAGTTCTTTACTGGCACAGGCAGCACTGTTCTGTAAGCATCCGCTGCTGTTATTGCTGATGGGAAGCTGTGCCCAGTCTTGCTCCCTTGCATTTAGAAACTTACGGTTTCTAGCCCTTGTTTATCTTAAAAAAACCCCTCAATCCATCTCCTGAGTGTATTCCACTGGAAAGCAGAGCCCACAGCAGTCCTGGCACACAGTGCTGTGTTTGCCTCCCCAAATCCATGGCTTTTTTTTAAGCCATTTGAGGCCTGAAGTATTGGTGAGCAAAATAACAGGGAATGATGGATTGCCAATACCCTGTCCACAGGGAATTGATGGTGCTACGTGGGATAACAGAGGGGGAGATGGGTGGTGCTGAGGTGTCGGAGGATGCCTGTGCTGGGAGGACAAAGCTGGTCTCTTGCTGCTGTCCAAGCCCTGGGATTGATTGATTAGTCCCAGGTAAGGAGGCTTTCCCAGATCCTTCCCTCAAAGCGTGAAGTTGGAGCTAGAAGCCAGGAATAGCTGTTCCAGCTGGCTGGGCAGTGACAAGCCCTCCAGCCAGCTTGGGCTCCGGGAGGGCTCAGCCTGCCAGCTCTGTACCACGCTTGGGGCTTAGTCCTGTTCGAACACATGGGATGGATCCAGATTTGGCTGAGAGGAGCAGAGCAGGTGGAGAGGTTTGACTGTCAGCAGATCACCCTGGCAGCTGGTGGCACAAATCCAAAGGCAGCTGCTTATCTCCAGGAAGGGGCTGTTGTCAGGGTGAGTTGGACTGACACAGGAAAACTGCTCCCGTGGCAGAGGGAGGATTTTCTCCAGGGCAGGAGTTGAGGAGGTGTGTGGGTTCAGTACTCTGGGGTGCAGGAGAGATCTGATGTGCATCAGAGTGGTGGTTTGGGGTTTTTTCAAATCCATGTGAGAATAACACTGTTGTGTGGCCAGACTGGAAGTCTGCCTGTGCTCTCCACAGCTGCTCAGGACTTGGGAAAGCAAAGAAAATCCCATAGCAAGGATTGAACAACCCCTGAGCATCTGTCTGCCTTCAATCCCTTCAGCACAGCCTGATCTCTGCTGTCATCATGTGTCTATCCCTGCCCACAGCAATGGCTCTTGGGAGCACTAGGCTGAGAGCTGGTCCATTCAGCCTCTGGCACTGGAGAGATCCTTCTCCATCCTGCTGCCTCCAATGGGAAAGATTTTGGGGGGTGGAAGAGATAAAGATCTAGAGGGAAAGGCTGGGAGCAGTGTGGTAGGGATTAGACCTTTCTAAATGCAGCTGTGCATATTCCAGTTTGGGTTTGGGGATTGTGCTGGTTTCTGCAAGGAAGTACAATATTTCCTCTCCTGGCATGTCACCTATCAGTCCAGGAAGTCACATTCCAGCTCTACTTTCCCTGATGCCCATGGAATCCTGCAGCATTCCTGTCCCACCTCCCAAGGTGTCCAGGGAATTTCCACCTCAAGCACTCCTCTCTCCCCGTTGAGGACCACCTCTGGCCAGGCAGGCAGCGTGAACTCCCTCCTGCTGGGTGGGACAGTGCCTTTGTGGCTGTGTCCTGCTCTATTAAGAACAACAACAAGGTGGTGGAGGAGTTTTGTTTAGGAGCTGATTGTTGTGGAGCAGTGGAGGGAGAGGCGTGTGGGGAGGCAGCACCAGCTCAGCCAAGTGGAAAGCAATGCAATGGAGCCTGAGTGAGCGGGACGGAGGGGAAGGGGCAGAGTGACAGCATGAAGGAGAATCACTTGTTCACCTTCAATCAATTCCTGCCTCCCCTCCCCACCGTGTGCAGCCGAGCGTGCGCGGGCAGGAGGGCAGAGCCGGCACTGTCACCAGCTGTTAGGGAATACATTCGTCACCACCCGGGCAGGGATGGAGGGAGAGGAAGGAGGAGGCCCTCAGCATGGCCTTTTACTTATTTATTGATGGCTTTGCGTTGTTCCTGTCTCGGGAAGAGCTTACCTGGGGGGAAGAGTGGTGAGGTGTGGAAGGAATGGGCCCCACTGTGATGTTTATGGCTCTTGTCCATTGCTAACTGTTCCCAGGTGCTGCTCATCCCAGAGGTGAGTCTTCATCCACATCCCAGCAGAGCTGGCTGCTGGAATTTGCCTCTGTTTGTAGCTCCCACAGTTGCAGCTGAAGAACATCTGTCCCATAGGGACCTGGTTTAGTGGTGAACATGGTGCTGGGTTGATGCTTGGACTCAATGATCATAGTATCATAGTGTGTTAAGGGTTTGGAATGGACCTTAGAGATCATCCAGTGCCAACCCCCTGCCCTGGGCAGGGACACCTCCCACCAGAGCAGGTTGCTCAAGGCTTTATCCAACCTGGCTTTGAACACTGCCAGGGTTGGGGCAGCCACAGCCTCCCTGGGCAACCAGAAGTCAAAGAGGTCTTTACCAACCTTAATGATTCTAGCATCATTGCTCTCAGGGAGAGTGTGGTTGGTGGAGTGGGCGTCGTGGCTAGCTGCTGTCTCCTGCTGCCACTGAGGTTTCTGGTGACTGCTCTGAGCTCACTGGGGATATGTCTCTCTGCACCCACTCACCAGCAGATGACCATTTTCATGGAGTCTCACTCCCAATTCCAGTGTGTTATCTCCCTTTTCCCAACTCTCCCATCTGTATTCAAAGTTTTTCTCCCTCAGAGGTTCAAGTCTGTGGGGCCCTACCTATGTATCGTGTTACAGAGTCACAGTATCATTCAGATTGGAAAAGACCTCTGAGATCAGAAAGTAAACCTATGACCTAACACCGACATGTCAGCTAGGCCATGGCACTAAATGTCATGTCCAGTCTCTCCTTAAAGACCTCCAGGGATGGTAACTCCACCACTTCCCTGGGTAGCTCCTTTCAATGTCTGATCACCCTTTCTGTGAAGAAATTCCTCCTAATGTCCACCCTTAACCTCTCCTGGTAGAATTTAAGGTGTTCTTCAGGTGTGGCTTAGTGTCTTTCCTAGGAAGAGGATGCTTTGCAAAGCTGGTGGCTTTGTGTAGCCTCTGAAGAGCTATACATGACAAGGGAATTAACTACTTCTGCCACAAGCTTCCATCTTCCTGAGCAAATTCCTGGCTGTAACATGATGGCACTAAAAATGCCACTTCCATCACCTCATGCTCGTTGAACATGACAATGAGTGATCCACTGGTGGGGCAAGAGATGAACATTGTGCTCTGGGCAGTAAGGACATGATGAAGGTTGGGAACTTGGTCTGGACATGAATGAAGTGCACACAACAGGCTTCAGCTTCTAGAAGTCTTGGATAGCTGAGGTTTATTTTTATCCATGTATGTTTCCCTTCTTTTCTAGGTTTGGAAGAAGCTCCTCAGCCCTGAAGCTCCACGTATCAGTGTCTTCATGGCAGTGCCCACTATCTATGCCAAGCTGATGGAGTATTATGATGAGCATTTCTCCCAGCCACAAGTCCAGGATTTCATCCGTGCCTTTTGCCAGGAGAACATTAGGTGGGTGAGCAGTGTCCCTGTGGGCAGGGCCTACTGCTGCCTGGCTGTCTCCACGGTGTGTCCTTCACATTTTCCTTTCAGCATCACCTCTTTGCAGTGCTGGTTGTTGTGCTTTGGTGTCTCTTTGACAGGAACAAGGGTGACATTATTTAATTATGAGCCACTCTTGCATGGTGAAGCCAGAAGGGGCTCGTTATGTGTGTCACCCTGTGTAACACATGGCTAAGGACTCTCCTGCAGCCCAACCTTGTACTCCAGCATCTCTTTTAGGAGACTGTGCTATCTTAACTCAAATATCAGAGAATGTGAGGAACATCTTTGGGACTGGTTGAAAGGCTTTTGGGTCTTCTATCATAAGGTTCTACTTAGGAGCAGCTTTATGTGACCCTGTGTTAGGCTGCAAAATCCCTGGAGCGAGGTAATCTTGGATACTCTCTTAGCTGAGCTTTCTCTGTGTAGGTTAATGGTGTCAGGCTCAGCAGCCCTGCCTGTGCCTGTCCTGGAGAAGTGGAAGAGCATCACTGGGCACACCTTGCTGGAGAGGTATGGGATGACTGAGATTGGGATGGCGCTTTCTAACCCTTTGCATGGAGTCCGTGTCCCAGGTAGGAGCCTCCAGAGGGTGCCCAGGGTTTGGAGGTGTTTGCTGGGAAGTGGTCTTGGGTTTCTCTACACAGAGTGAGGAGCAGCAATGGTAGGAACAGGGATGCTGGTAGGGGGAATTGGCATGTGGAAGCCAGGACACGAGTGGGAAGTGGGTGGTGGGTTTCCCTGGGCTCGGAGCTGTGTGTGCAGAGCTGACCTGACCAGCCAGGCTGGTTCTCCAGGAGGCAGACTCCATGTTGATGCCTTATTGCTTCCAAAATTGTAGTGAATCCAAGCTCTGGGACTGCTTCTGCAGCTCCTGCTCCCTGGAGTTGTATTTCTGTGCGTTGTCACACAGGATTCTCCCCACAGCAGTGCCTGTCCAACCCATCAGTGCTGAACACCCAAAATAGGATGTCTGTTCACTCTTATTTTAGTGCCTGTTTCTGCCTCTTCAGGAATTAGAAATTGTCACACCTCGGTGTACACTCTGGTCCTGTTCTCTCCTTGTCTTCCCTCCCTTCTCCTTGCTACACTTGGTGACTCCTCTCAATGTCTGTACTTTCTGTAACCTAGAAATAAATCGATCTGCAACATTACAAATATAAAATGCCCCAACCCTCCCTCTGGTTCCAGTGTGACCATCTGTCTGTGAGCTCCCAGCCCACCCCTGTGCCACCTGCCTCCCCACGCGCTGTCTCTGCAGGCATGGCACCATATGCAGCCTCTTGAGGGACTGGTGTTACCCCAGGCGGGTGTCCTGGGTGTCACTGCTTCCCACAGCACCTCAATCCCTTGGGATGCAGAAGGTGGGCCCTGCAGGGATCACACAGGGAGAGGAGAGGTCACAACTCCCCCTCGCTTGTTCTTCAGCCTGAGAACAGCTCAAAATACAAACTCAGGTTTACTTTTGCAGAGTAACTGTCATTCCCTCACCCCACCTCAGCCAGTTTTCCCTTCCTCCAGAAGCCTCATCCCTGCAGGCAGGAGAGAGAAGCAGACAGGGAAACAGGATTCCCACCTGCATGAGCTTGAGCTGTGAGCCCCACGCTGCAGGGTGACACTGCAGAGATCATATCAGTGTCCCTGTGGCCTGATTATATTTGCTTTTTATTGATCTTCAGGAGGGCAAATGAGTGAAAGCTCTAGAAATTTCCCAGGAGACTGAAAGTAACATGGGCAAGGCAGATATTGGCACCTAGAAGGAGAGCTCCTGCCCCAGAGCTGAGTGGCTGTGCTCCTGAGCCATCCTCCCTGAGGGTCTGCAGGGGACCTGGGGGAAAATCCTCTCATGCAGCCATAAGCAGAGGGGTGGGGACTGTCACCACAGCCCCATCCAGGGGCTCCTGAGAGGGGAGAGAAGCATCTCACAAAGGTGTGGCTCAGCGAGAGACCGTGCAGAGAGGAGGCTGTAATTGAATAGGCTTGATTAATTTATTTCAGGAAGTGTCAGCTGGGAAGCAGATGGGTGAAGCTGAGGCATAATTTACTGGAGCTGTGAGAAAGCTTTTGATCTAGTGCCCCTGTTAGAGGTTGGGCTGAGAGGTCACCAGGTACCACAGAGCACAGAGTCAAACATGATGATGGGCTGGGAACAGGGGACTCTTGCCAGGGGATTTCTCCTGGAGAAATCTCCAGCACATGTCCTTCTCTACTGTTTTGACCTGTTGGAGTCCAGAGGAGCCCACCAAGTTGATTAGAGGGGTATGGAGCATTTCTCCTATGGGGAAAGGCTGAGAGAATTGGGATTGTTCAGCCTGGAGAAAAGAAGCTTTGGGGTGACCTGATTGTGGCCTTTCAGTGCCTAAAGGGAGCCAACAGGAAAGTTGGAGACTATTTACAAGAGTCTGGAATGACAGGACAAGGGGGAATGGCTTCCCACTGACAGAGAGTAGGTTTAGATTGGATATTAGGAAGGAGTTCTTCCCTGTGAGGGTGCTGAGGCACTGGCACAGGTTGCCCAGAGAAGCTCTGGCTGCCTCATCCCTGGGAGTGTCCCGGGCCAGGTTGGATGGGGCTTGGAGCAACCTCGGCTAGTGGAAGGTGTCCCTGCCCATGGCAGAGGGTGGGATGAAAGGAGCTTTAAGGTCCTTCAACACAAACTGTTCTGGGATTCTGTTGTTCATGAGCCTCTGAGGAGAGGTTCTGGGGCTTTCCTTGCCCACTTCCAAGTGCCTGGTGTGGCTGAGAAGGGTCGAGTCCTCAGAGCCTGCCCATCCTGCCCATATCCCCACTGGTGTCACCAGCTGTGTGCCCCCACTCTCCACCCTCAGCACAGGTCTGAAGTGGCTGGGATGGGGATGTGAGAGCTTTAATTTCCAGAAGAAGCCAAGATGAAAGATTTGAAAGATAAATGTTTGCTTGTATATGGTTAAAACCCTGCTTAAAATGCCTCTGTTTTCACCAGCTCTCATTCTAATCCCCCCTGGTGCTGTTACTGTGAAGGGAGATGAATAATTCATGGCCGGAGAATGCCTCACTGGGCCTAATCACCGCTTTAATTGGAGGTTTAGATCAGAGGCGACTAATAGCTGCTACAGCGGGGACTCCGTGTATTGTTGACAGTGAGATCGTTGAGTGCCTTATCGTTGGCCTGTTTCAATCCTCCCGGGACACCGCGGCACATAACAGCACCGAGGTGCCCAGATACCGAAGGACACCGACCGCAGGGCCAATTAAATTTATCAGGGAAGAGCTGACAACTTTTTTAAACAGAGAAGAACCGGTGGAAAAATAATCGTGTCAGTCCCTGCTGCCTGCAGCCAGGCTGAGCTGGCACCCCCGGCACCATGCCAGCACTTCCCAATATCCAGGAGCCTGCAGATTGTAGAGAGATGGGAGAGAGACAGAGGGCAAACAGCAGGGGTTTCTCCCCAGTTTTTCTGCAGGATGATGACTGGGGACAGAAGGAAACCAGGGCTGAGTGTTGAGCCCTGATTCTGGTCTTGGTGAAGCCACAGACTGTGGGGCTGTTCCTTTGGGAATGGGCTCAAGCCTCTGCTGACCTGTTGGAGTTGGCATAGTGTGTGTTTTGACGTTGTGGAAGGGCCTGGGAAGCTCTAGGTGTGGTTTTTGCACCAATTTTGTTAATACTGTCAGGTTCTTACTGTCAGTAAGAGGAGCAACAAGTTGGGGTCATAAAGGTGATGGGGGGCTAAGGCATGGGTTGTCTAGGTTGATGGTGGAGTCGCCATCCCTGGAGGTGTTTAGGAGGAGTCTGGATCTGGGGCTGGAAGATGTGGTTTGGGGTTTAGGGGTCACAGCAGTGACAGGTTAAGGGTTGGACATGATGATCTTAAAGGTCTCTTCCAACCTTGATTCTATGATCCTTATAGCTCTAATCAATGGTGTGAGCATTTTCAGCCTTTATAGGTGTTGATTTCCAGGTTTGCCATTTTCCCTGAATACCAGAAAACCTTTTCCAGACAGACTATAAAGAAACAGCTCTCCACTAGTGTCTTGTTTTACTGGTTGGTTTTACTTTAGCCACGTAGGAAAGAATTTGGTGTAGCTGCATTAGTAACTGTGAGCTGTGATCTGTGTGGGGAACGCGTCACCTTCTCTGTGCCTTCAGATTTGCCAGAGCTGATCTTTGGTGTTTCATTCTCAAAGACAGACTAGAACTGGACACTGATTCTTGAGTCCTGCTGCCCATGAATCATTCCATCACATCTCCCTGTTAAGGTCAGTAGTTTGCATTCAGGGAAGAAGCATCTTCTGGGAAGGCATCCTGCTGATCTTGATTTGAATGCTTCCAGGTCTGTGAGAGCCCATGGCAGTTCCTTGCACTGGTTTCTGCTCCCAAAGTCAGTCCAGGACTGACTTTGCAGTGTCTGTCCACCATCCCCTGTCATGTCTCACAGTCTGGTTGGAGACTGTTCACACAAGGTGTTTTTCATCCTGGAGAAACTGTTCCCATAGAAGTCTAGAAGGTGCTTCAGCAATCTTCCATGCAACATTGAGGGTGTTTTCCATGCCTTGTTACCTGCTTTGAGGCCTCTTGGAGTCTCCCATGGCAGGTACAAGACCATTTAAAATATGCATGGTGTGACTTTTAGGGTTGCAGAGCCAAGTGTTTGACTCAAAGATCCTTGTGGATATAACTCAGGATATTCTATGATTCCATAAATACCTTGACATGGCACTTCCAGGCACTTCTGGCTCATGGCTCCCTCCTCACCCTGCTGCAGTCCTGTGTCTCTGGTTCCTGGCAGTGTGTGACCGGGCTTCACACTGACAGAGAGTAAGGTTAGATGGGGTAGTGGGAAGGAATTCCTCCCTGTGAGGGTGGTGAGGCTCTGGCAGAGGTTGCCCGGAGAAGCTGTGGCTGCCCCATCCTTGGGAGTGTTCCAGGCCAGGTTGGATTAGGGTTTGGAACAACTTGGGCTGGTGGAAGGTGTCCCTGCCCATGGCAGGGGGCAGAAAGAGATGAGCTTTGAGGTCCTTCCAACCCAAACCATTCCATGATTCTATGATTCGTGGAGCCTCTGAGGAGAGATTCTGGGACTTCCCATGCTCACTTCTACCCTTTTGGTGTGGCTGGGGAAGGGTTGAGTCCTCTGAAGCTGCCTGTCCTGGTGGGAGCAGCCCCTGGTGCTGGTGGTGAGAGGAGGAAGGCCCTGGCTGTGTGTGGAGGCAGTTGGGAGTGGTGTGGCCACGCGGCACAGAGCTGCCACGTCGCTTGCTGCTTAGTTCCTGCCAGATTTGCTAATTGTTCGGGTAGTTTCGCTGCAATAAAATCTCACTCCCTCCTAGCCCATCTGCTCTTGGCTGATCCTACAGGGATGCCATAAATCTAGGCTACGACGACATATCTATTTCCATGGCAACTGACCAATGTAGCAGACACGATCATGATGTCACGGATAGCACATCTCCAGGGCTTGAGGAGGAGAATGACAATAGAGTAGGGAAAATGCCACTTGAACCCAAGTACCTGAAAACAAGAGGAAGGCAATGCTGAGCTCCCGGTCCTGCATGTTTAGCTCTAGGGAATTACCAGTGTCAAGCTGATCCTGGCAGATCTGGAAAGCATCAACTGGAGGCTCTTCAGAGGGAAAATTGAACGTCTCTTAAAGTAACTCACAGCACAGGGAGGAATTTCTTCCCAATATCCAACCTAATCCTGCCATCCCTCTGTTTAAGGCCATTCCTCCTTGTCCTATCACTCCATGCCCTTGTGAAAAGTCCTTCTCCAGCTGAAGCTCAGACCTGTCGAATCCTCCTGAGCCACAGGTTTCTCTGAGCTGATGTCCCTCTCCCTGCTCACAGGGGATGAAGGTCATGGGCCTCATCTGGAATTTCTTCCCAATATCCAACCTAATCCTGCCATCCCTCTGTTTAAGGCCATTCCTCCTTGTCCTATCACTCCATGCCCTTGTGAAAAGTCCTTCTCCAGCTGAAGCTCAGACCTGTCGAATCCTCCTGAGCCACAGGTTTCTCTGAGCTGATGTCCCTCTCCCTGCTCACAGGGGATGAAGGTCATGGGCCTCATCTTGCCTTGAGAGCCGTCTCATGCCATTGAGTTGCCGAGCGAGACCTGCTGAGCCAGCAGATGCCCACGGGTCCTGACTGCTGCTGAGCCCATCAGACAGGTCACAGGAATAAAGTTGCCCTTTCTGCTGAGCTTTCAGGTGCTCCCCAGGACCAGTGAACACTAAATCAGGGGATGGGAATGCTGCAGGTTGTGGAGCTCTGGGTCACAGAACCATCTTGTAGCTCTATAGGAGTTGTTTATGACACTGCGTCAGCTCTTTGAAGCTGAAAGCTGTGGAACAACAGTGTGGGTTTGATCCTTGCTTTTTTCCTGTGATGTTTTATACGCAGTGTATTGATGTCTCCTAAAACTGAGATAATCCCTTCTATTCTCCCCCTGTTAAGCCTTTGCCTGCCCTCTCAGGTGCAGGCTCAGAGGAGCCACCGCAGCAATCACTATGCTCTTTCCTTTCACAGCTTTCTGTGGGTTTCATGGTGCTTTTTTTTCTTTTTTTTTTGTCAAAAAGAAAAGAAACAGCTTCATTACTGAGCTCTGAAGTTGTGCTGATGTCTTCAAAGACTGGCCAAGAGAGACTGTTGAGGGCTGGAGAGACATTTGTTTTCCAAGGCATTTCCAGCACTGCCTGTGCTCAGCCAACAACAGCATATTGCAGCGTCGTGACATTTGCATGCAGACACACGACGTGATCGAAACCTTCCTGAAGGGTAACCCCCTGCTAGGAAGTTCTTTAGTGCCAGCACAGGCTGCAGATGCCATTGATAGACGAGCAGCTGCTCTTTTGCATCCTTGATTTTGTGATTTCCCAGAGGCTGCCCACTGTTCCCATCTTGTTTCCCCCCCGCAGGTTCCGTGGGCACTCCGCTTCCAGGGGTGGAGGTACGCATTGCCAGTGAGACCTTTAAGAGTGGAGGTCGTTCCTACACCATCCATGCTCAGGGGGATGAACACAGCACACAGGTAGTGCTCAGCCATGTTTGCTTCATTCTGTAAAGTTCTTCTCTCATGGAAAGTTCTCTCCGCTCACTCAAAAACCCTGAGGTCTGAGGACTGTACTGCTGTAATTCCCAGGAAGCCAGTTAGGCTATTGAGATGTTTTTCTGTTCTTTCATGGGTTGCTATAGTCATGGTACTTGATGGACTGCACAAGTGTTGTCTGTTGAATCATAGAATCATAGAATCATGGAATGGTTTGGGTTGGAAGAGATTATCTCGTTCCCCCCCCTGCCATGGGCTGG